TCTCTCTCTCTCTCTCTCTCTCTCTCTCTCTCTCTCTCTCTCTCTCTCAACAATAGATAAATGTAGTGATTTAAACTATGAAATCCATCTTATGATGTGTATATACAATTATTTATCTTATAAGGAAAGGGCGTTAATAATGTTCATGTAACTTGTGCCCATTCCTCTTGCATTTTTTTGGCAATAAAATATGTTTAAACAAACTTATCTCTTCACCATTATTTAACACAACGCATATCTTAGCAACCCTCTTTCCCTTCTCTTCCCTATCTTACCCTCCCATATTTCCCGTGTTTACTCGTATACACAACGCATTGCTGCATATTTCTTTCTCAAATATTAAAGTCATATATCATGTGGTCCTCAAATCTGATATCTATTTCTTCAACTAGGGATGGAATCGTAGATATTGTAAAACTTGTTTCCAAATCAAATTTCGGCAATTGTGTATTGCTTTATATCATATTGTAAAAGAAAAGAAATGAAATCAAGTTTGAATTAATTTGGTGGAATTTCAAGACGACTTCATTCTTCTTTTTTTCTCTTCCTTTCCCGCTGTTGCATTTTCCTTTCGACTTTGTGTCCGTGTGTTGAGGTATTTGTATCTCATACCTATGTATGCTATAAATCTCCATCACGATCATCCGCTGTGTAAATAAATATGTTCATATTCCGAAATATTCCTACCAGGGAAACTAGTCCCAGAAATAAATCTTTTGAACTGTTTAGCTCAGTAAATCGGTTCAACATGTTTTGATTTGTCCAATTAGCTTCTACACGGGCTGAACTCCAGAAGTAGACTTGACCTTCTCCCGTCACGTGTTTTGGTACCTATAGTACCTTAGCCCGCGTTTCCTCTGGCCCTGACACCAGACTTAGACATCTTGACAGATAGATGTCTGGTGTGGAATCTGTCTGTCAAAATGTCTAAGTCTGGTGTCAGAGACAGAGGAAACTCGGGCTACTAGTACCTGTTCGTATCTTGATAATCGTTTTAGTTTACGGTATCAATAGAGATTAGTCATTCACAGTTAGTCTACATAAGAGGTGTTATCAGAGTCATAAGAAGCCTGTTTCGCATCGTGAGTAACCTAAACCTACTACATCGCTAAATGCTTGTGTTAGCTAATCTCTGTGATGACAAGTCTACATCTGTAAGATAAACACAGCCGCTGTGCTGATTATGATTCGCTTTAAAACAGATATACAATGTAGTGATGAGCAGAGAAGATTTTGATGTGAAGTTTCCATTTGAAGATATTACTGTAACATCTTTAATCTGGAGTATTTAAACAATCACCATACATTAAAAAGCACTCTCCGTATTATCGTACTAGTAACGCGTATGGAAGATAACTGGTCTCGCTGGTATTCATCGAAATGAACAGAAAAACCCCATATTACATATTAAATATAATGTCTATTGCAACCTTCTATATACCTTATTGTAAATATTAGAATAAAACTGCAAACTTCGTTATTCACCTTATTCTAAATATAAAAAATATAACTAAAGGTACATTTGTATATTATACAATTATTGACCTATTTTCAGGTGAATACGAGGATTGATTAACCCGAAGCCTTCCAGGGTTAATAAACCCTCGTATTCACCTGAAAATACGTCAATAACTGTTTTATTATATGACATTTTTATAAACTTAACCATGTGTAGCACCAATCCATCCTTAGCATATTTCGCCATGATTATGGCACCTGCAACGAAATTCTGCTTACACAGAATTTGTGTCTCTGTGCAATTAAAATGACCTTATATTAGCTGTTAATAAGATCAAAAACACCATACTGCGTAATGTGAGTAAATGGGAGAAAACTCAATCAAACAAATTTAGTATTTATTTAATTTAACAAAATGTATATACCTTGAAAGTAAACTTTCAAGGGTGAAAATACAGTACCGTGTAACGGTAACACTCGAGTTGTTTCGTTGCAGCATCAAACACTTTGTTGCATTCAGTAAATTCAGCGACATGCACTATATCCATGTTACAACCAAAACTCGAAGGGTATTGGTTGATACCATGCCGGATACTAAAGAGATAACTAACGTTGATATTTCTCACCTTCTTTCCTACTCATTTCCACATAAAACTTCCGAAGAACATTGCAGAGTTCGAGCGCCTGCATGTAAACAAAGCCCGTGTCTATTGCTTTTTCTTTCAAATATACACGTGATACACAAACAGAAGTGTCGGTAGCTTTAACAGTGTTTCTAGTATCCTTTTGCACCAAGATATTTTTAAGTTGGTCATCAGAAACAGTTCCAAATCTTGACAAGCCGGGTTTGTTTACACTGTAGTCTGCCATTTTCTCTCCAGTGAGGCAACGACAATCGGTGCTTCTGATTGGTCAAAAATTACAGCACAGGTTACTGGATTGAAATAATTCACCTGTGAGGCACCAGACGGTGTTTTGGACCGTTATATTCACCTCGCTTGCACGGATTCTCTAGGTTTCGGGATAACATCGCAATATATTTATTTAGACCTATAAAAGGTGTTTTGACCAATCAGCGGTTGGGAAAAATGACAGTTTTATAATAAAGGGTTTTATAGCTATTTTTTATATTTAGAATGAGGTATATAGGAGTTTGTAGCTACATGTAAATGAAGCAACAAACTTCAAATAGTTCCAGTCTACTCAGCTGTAAATGAGTACGTGGTTGGGCAGTGCTGAAATTATTGAATGTTATAGCTGGGTGAGCGCCTATATGGCAGCTCCGGCTGTATGCTCCACATGGAGTTGAGAAAGATATTGGCTGGTTGCAAAGGCCCTATAACCACGGATAATAATTTGTGAACCGCTTTGAGACGACCTATGAACTAGGTTGTGATAAAGTGTTATATAAGAACCTCGAAATATTATCAGTATTATAAAATGAACTCTGATAATATACGGAGCTAGTGTTCTGATGATTTTTACTCTTGAAATGTTCTTAGGTTGAAATATAATGCTGGGCCTTAAACCGTGTAAACTGCGTAGATTCCTGTCCCCGGCAAGTAGGAGTTCAACGTAATATTGTTCACTTCAGAACGACATTTGTTCCAGTAACATATGCTATATAAGCTATGTTGTTCAGTGGTCCATGAGCGATATTTTGGATCGTATGTGAGAATAAAAAAGGAAAATACTATATAAACTGAAATGAATTTATTTTGTCAAATGTATTTTTCTTGATGAAATTATCACCCAAAGTAAATTTAGGATAAACATGAAAAAGTGTCAATGTTGTCACAAATACATGACAATAGGCTTTGGTGGTAGTGTGTAGACAATGTATGCGTTATCATACATAAACAAATGATAGTTCTTGGTCTCATAAGCAAGCAAGCTGAGCCGTGGAAGTGTGCGTTGCTTTGTCACAGCATCGATGTGGCCACCTACACATACACTTTATTGAACATATCTGCCGGATTAACAAAGCCCTGTGAAAAGAAAGACAATTATGATTTATTAACTATACTCTTGCATTTGTTACATATCGATAACGTTTTTCCGCCTCGATAAACGTTGTTCATAACCATTAAGCATACACGATTTAGAGATACCCAAATAATAATAATAAGCATGATTTGGAAATAAGCCTTGGATTCTTTAGTTAAAATAATCGGCTTATTGTCGGGAGTTTAGAGTATCAGCGGACTGCTATAGAATCTACCGACTGTTGTCAGGTTCCCATACAATCAACAAATGCATTAACGCCTGGATTCTTCACAAAATGAGCAAAGAGAAAAGTTCGAATTCACTTCCATAAATAATTCCCTCGTAGAGGGCAAGGTCGGATTTACGGTGTTCACATTCCGGGGAAAAATCGAAACAATTTCAAATCAAACTTTCAGCTCAGAGTTCTATTGATAACTTAAATCACCATATATACATAACATACGCAATTGTAGTGATACTGAATTGTGGAATAAAATTGAAGTGTTTGTTAAAATTTCAAAGTAATACTTTGTTTGCCAATCAGCACGCGACATTACGCTGTTCAAACTATTGAACGAAATTGTGTGGACTGTCGATAAGGCGGGCATTTTTAATATTAAATATAAATTATAAGTTTAAAAAACCCATAAGAGGCAGAGAAAACGTAAATATAAGTATTGAACTGTTTTTTGTATGGTATTTATGTTCTATTTGAATGACACAGCTTTTCAAGCAAACAAATCATAATGCGCACTATATGCTTAGATATATATATGGCGCAAAGTATATATATAAACATGGGGCAAAGAAGTAATTCCAACAGTAGTGTGGACAAGTTAAGGTTGTCAAATTTTCGGAGCGATCCGCTCCTTTATCAAGACACAGTGAAACAGAACAGTTACATGTACATATACATCAAATTACAAGAAGATAGAACTGATATACTATCATTGAAAATATAGCTATTATATAAAACCAATAGTCCCCTCGGCTAAAGACAGCTGAAGGCAGCAATTAAGCTGAGAGCATCGCGGACAAGGAACGCTGGGATTTTACCGTCTATATTACTTCTTTGACTCATATATATATATATACATGTATATAGGTTTCATAAATAACAACGATAGCATGATCTAGTATTGGCACTGGATCCGAACAAACAAAATGTTTATATAAGTAGCTTCTGTATGTTTATGCACTTTGTATTGTATTATTGTCTCATGGTGACTGTTTTCTATGTTTTATGTTATGATATGTACATTTTCATGTTTCTGTCTTGATAAAGGGACGGATCGCCCTGAACATTTGACTTTCTTTGTCTGCACTGTTGTTATTACTTCTTTGCCTACACACACATAAATATCAATACTAAGTGTTATATATATATATATATATATATATATATATATACAGATAACACATATATATCAATACTAAGTGTTATATATATATAAATATATATATATACATATAACACATAAATATTAATACTAAGTGTTATATATATATATAAATATAACACATAAATATCAATACTAAGTGTTATATATATAAATATAACACATATATATCAATACTAAGTGGTAAACGTATATATATACATATAACACATATGTATCAATACTAAGTGTTATATATATATATATAAATATAACACATAAATATCAATACTAAGTATTATATATATATATATATACATATAACACATATATTTCAATACTAAGTGTTACATATATATATACGTATAACACATATATATATCAATACTAAGTGTTATATACATATATATATATACATATAACACATATGTATCAATACTAAGTGTTATATATATAAATATAACACATATATATCAATACTAAGAGTTATATATATATATATATACATATAACACATAAATATTAATACTAAGTGTTATATATATATATATAAATATAACACATATATATCAATACTAAGAGTTATATATATATATATATACATATAACACATATGTATCAATACTAAGTGTTATATATATAAATATAACACATATATATCAATACTAAGTATTATATATATATATATATATACATATATAGCACATAAATATCAATACTAAGTGTTATATGTATATATATACATACATATAACACATATATATCAATACAAAGTGTTATATATATATATATATATATAAAACATATATATAAATACTAAGTGTTAAACCTATATATAGACATATAACACATATATTTCAATACTAAGTGTTACATATATATATACGTATAACACATATATATATCAATACTAAGTGTTATATATATAAATATAACACATATATATCAATACTAAGTGTTAAACCTATATATATACATATAACACATATATTTCAATACTAAGTGTTACATATATATATACGTATAACACATATATATATCAATACTAAGTGTTATATATATAAATATAACACATATATATCAATACTAAGTGTTAAACCTATATATAGACATATAACACATATATTTCAATACTAAGTGTTACATATATATATACATATAACACATATGTATCAATACTAAGTGTTATATATATAAATATAACACATATATATCAATACTAAGTGGTAAACGTATATATATACATATAACACATATATATAAATACTAAGTGTTAAACCTATATATAGACATATAACACATATATTTCAATACTAAGTGTTACATATATATATACGTATAACACATATATATATCAATACTAAGTGTTATATATATAAATATAACACATATATATCAATACTAAGTATTATATATATATATATATATACATATATAGCACATAAATATCAATACTAAGTGTTATATACATATATATATATATACATATAACACATATATATCAATACTAAGTGTTAAACCTATATATATACATATAACACATATATTTCAATACTAAGTGTTACATATATATATACATATAACACATATATATATCAATACTAAGTGTTATATATATACATATAACACATATATAGCAATACTAAGTGTTAAACATATATATATATACATATAACACATATATAGCAATACTAAGTGAAAACTTACAGCATCAATAGACAAGTACACGTGTACTTTTGTAGCCATGCTATAATTATATACTGAAACACCATTTTGACAATTGTAAGGTACCGACACAGTTTGACGGAAAGACCCGAACAGTTTCCGACTAGGAAAGATTCACATGTGAAGTTCTATATTAATATTTATATAACAATATATTAATTATAACCTTTTTTTGGTCGAGTTGTTTATATGAGGACTGTACAAGGGAAACAGTTTATATGCTTGATATATGAACGTGAAACACAGTTAATACAAACATGTTATGCGGATTAGAATCATAGGTCGAGATTCATTTAAGAGTTTCCATGGTTCAATGACCACGGTCTGACGTGTTACTGACCACGGTCTGACGTGTTACTGACCACGGCCTGACGTGTTTCTGATCATGATCTGACGTGTCCCTGTTCACGGCCTGACGTGTGACTGATCACGGCCTGACGTGTGACTGATCACGGCCTGACGTGATACTGACCACGGCCTGACGTGTGACTGATCACGGCCTGATGTGTCACTGACCACGGTCTGACATGTGACTGACCACAGTCTGAAGTGTGACTGACCATGGTCTGACGTGTCATCGACCACGGCCTGACGTGTTACTGACTACAGTCTGATGTGTCACTGACCACAGTCTGACGTGTCACTGTCCACACTCTGACGTGTCACTGACCACGGTCTGACGTGTCACTGACCACGGCCTGACGTGTCACTGACCCCGGTCTAACGTGTGACTGACCCCGGTCTAATGTGTCATTGACCACGGCCTGACGAGTCACTGACCACGGCCTAACGTGTGACTGACCACGGCCTGACGTGTGACTGACCCCGGTCTGACGTGTCACTGACCACGGCCTGACGTGTCACTGACCCCGGTCTAACGTGTGACTGACCACGGTCTAACGTGTCATTGACCACGGCCTAACGTGTGACGGACCACGGCCTGACGTGTCACTGACAAAGGTCTGGCGTGTTACTGTCCACGGTCTGACGTGTGACTGACTGACTGATTATGGTCTTATGTGTCAATGACCACGGTTTGACGTATAACTGACATCGGGCTGACGTGACACTTACCACGGTCTGACATGTGACTGACCACGAGCTGACGTGTGACTGACCACGGTCTGAAGTGTGACAGACCACGGTCTGCCGTGTCACTGACTACGGTCTGACGTGTCACTGACCACGGTCTTACGTGTCAGTGACATGTGACTGAGAACGGCCTGACGTGTGATTGACTGATTATGGTCTTATGTGTTAATGAACACGGTTTGACGTGTAACTGACAATGGTTTGACGTGTCACTGACCACGGTCTGACATGTGACTGACCACGATCTGACGTGTGACTGACCAAGGTCTGAAGTATTGAATGACCAGAGTCTGACCTGCCACTGACTACGGTCTGATATGTCACTGACCACAATCAGACGTGTGACTGACCACGACCTGACTTGTCACTGACCGCAGTCTGACGTGTCGCTGATCACAGTCTGACGTGTCACTGACTTCGGTCTGATGTGTGACTGACGTGTCACTGAAAACGGTCTGACGAGTTGCTGACCACGATCTGACATGTGATTGACCACGGCTTGACGTGCCACTGACCATGGCCTGACGTGTCACTGACCACGACCTGACGTGTGACTGACCACGATCTGGCATGTGACTGACAACGATCTGGCATGTGACTGACCACGATCATCTGACATGTGATTGACCACGGCTTGACGTGCCACTGACCATGGCCTGACGTGTCACTGACCACGGCCTGACGTGTCACTGACCACGATCTGACGTGTGACTGACCACGATCAGACATGTGATTGACCACGGCCTGACGTGCAACAGGCCATGGCCTGACGTGTCACTGACCACGGCCTGACGTGTCACTGACCACGGTCTTACGTGTGACCGACCACGATCTGGCATGTGACTGACCACGATCTGGCGTGTGACTGACCACGATCTGGCATGTGACTGGCCACGATCTGGCATGTGACGGACCACGGCCTGCCGTGTCACTGACTACGGTCTGACGTGTCACTGACCACGGTCTGACGTGTGACTGACCACGATCTGGCATGTCACTGACCACTCTGACGTGTCACTGACCACGGTCTGACGTGTGACTGACCACGATCTGGCATGTGACTGGCCACGATCTGGCATGTGACGGACCACGGCCTGCCGTGTCACTGACCACGGTCTGACGTGTCACTGACCACGATCTGGCATGTGACGGACCACGGCCTGCCGTGTCACTGACTACGGTCTGACGTGTCACTGACCACGGTCTGACGTGTCACTGACCACGGTCTTACGTGTGACTGACCACGATCTGGCATGTGACTGACCATGGCCTGAAGTATCACGGACCACGGTCTGCCGTGTCACTGACTACGGTCTGACGTGTCACTGACCACGGTCTGACGTGTGACTGACCACGATCTGGCATGTGACTGACCACGGCGTAACGTGTCACTGACCACGGCCTGACGTGTCACTGACCACGGCCTGACGTGTCACTGACCACGGCCTGACGTGTCACTGACCACGATCTGACGTGTGACTGACCACGATCTGGCATGTCACTGACCACGGCCTGACGTGCGACTGTACTTGTTTTAGGGTAACATACCTCTTGTCCGAGCTCCTCTTGCGTTGGTTGGTTAACAGGGAAGTTATGTGCGTTCTGATCCAAGTTCTTGAAGTAGGCGGAGGAGGTTCCTGAATTACGAAATGGGCTCATATAGTCTACAGGAGCAGCTTTGACTGGGGCCGGGGCAGCATTGACTGGCATTGGACTGTTATAGACTTTTCCCTTGAAAGGGTTCTTGGGATCAGCAAACCCCTGTAAAAGGTACCAATGAGGATTTATATAGCATTCTGAAAAACAATAGTTTCGTACTTATGACTTCTTGCCAATGAACACTTTTTAATCAATACTAATAAAAAGTGTTTCAGTAAAGTTTAATATTTTAGGTACCCGTCTTATTTCTTACCTTGAGTATTAGTTTCGTTTTTAACTTTCCGTGTGTCATAACTTGGAATATATGTTTTTTTCTTTTTTACCTTGCTCTCCATATTAGATTCAATTAAAAATTACATATATTATTTTCTCTTTTCTAGATTTAATAGTTAAAATATTATGTATTTAATTGTATCAACTTAATTTTTGAATTAATTCGGTACGATTTGATTAAACCCTTTCTAATTGTATTTCAGTTGATAAACGCTTGTTAAAGTGAGTCTGATTTTTAGTTATGTAACTTGAATGCAATTTGTATTTTGAACTAACCTTTAGTATAAGAAGGAATATACTGTAGTTTAAGAAGACGGAGAGAAATACCGAAAAATCGTTGTGAATTCTGCAATAAAATACCTTCGTCAACTGGTTTAGACTAAACTACAAATGGTGAGCTAGTGTATTATTGAAAATAATCTAAAACATCCTTAAATGTCAATGTGTTAAACGCCATTTATTAAATAAATTTTTCATTTTTAACTGACTTAATGCCACGGACTAAAACCAAGCTTCATGTTCCCTAAACCAAAATAAATATTCTTTTAAGTCAAAAAACATGTTCCTTAGGGCTGAACTACATGTTCCGTAAAGACAAGAGCAATATTCCTAAGGGCTGAACTGCATGTTCCCTAAAGCTAAGCTAAATGTTTCTTAGAGCTGAACTGCGTGTTCCGTAAAGCCAAGAGAAATATTCCTAAGGGCTGAACTGCATGTTCCCTAAAGCTTAGCTAAATGTTTCTTAGGGCTGAACTACATGTTCCGTAAAGCCAAACTAAATGTTCCTTAGAGCTGAACTGCATGTTCCGTAAAGACAAGAGAAATAATCTTAAGGGCTGAACTGCATGTTCCCTAAAGCTCAGCTAAATGTTCCTTAGGGCTGAACTACATGTTCTGTAAAGCCAAGCTAAACGTTTCTTAGAGCTGAACTGCATGTTCAGTAAAGCCAAACTAAGTGTTCCTTAGAGCTGAACTGCATGTTCAGTAAAGCCAAACTAAATGTTCCTTAGGGCTGAACTTCATGTTCCGTAAAGACAAGAGAAATATTCCTTAGGGCTGAACTGCATGTTCCCTAAAGCTAAGCTAAATGTTCCTTAGGGCTGAACTTCATGTTCCGTAAAGCCAAACTAAATGTTCCTTAGGGCTGAACTCATTGTTCCGTAAAGCCAAACTAAACGTTTCTTAGAGCTGAACTGCATGTTCCGTAAAGCTAAGCTAAATGTTCCTTAGGGCTGAACTTCATGTTCCGTAAAGACAAGCTTAACGTTTCTTAGGGCTGAACTACATGTTCCGTAAAACCAAGCTAAATGCTAGTTAGGGCTAAACTGTTCTTGTTAACAACAAAATCAATAGCTAGAAGAATTTAAAAAAAAAGAGTTCTGTTTGACATCAATTACAAAGGATAACCCGTATTCCACATTTAATGTTTCGGACCTACAAGCGATGCCATCTGCCAAGCTATACTGAGACCATGCTCCCTACCTGTGTTCAGCTATGCGGAGACCATGCTCCCTACCTGTGTTCAGCTATACTGAGACCATGCTCCCTACCTGTGTTCAGCTATACTGAGACTATGATCCCTACCTGCGTCCAGCTATACTGAGACCATGCTCCCTACATGTGTTCAGCTATACTGAGACTGTGATCCCTACCTGTGTCCAGCCATACTGAGACCATACTCCCTTCCTATGTTCAGCTATACTGCGACTATGATCCCTACCTGGGTCCAGCTATACTGAGACCATGCTCCCTACCTGTGTTCAGCTATACTGAGACTTTTCTCCGTACCTGTGTTCCGATGCTTGCCTGGGTAGGTTGGCTGCCTGGATGGTTCTGTAAGTTCTTGTCTCGTTTGCTGTAATACGCAGATGATTTTCCATCATTTTGAAATGGGCTCGTCATGTCGACAACTGGTTTCTCTGCCCGATGGGCAGTAGGCATCCGGTTATTCTTTTGTTTATAGATGAATCGCTGTAGTAAATTCCGAAATACGTCCAAACCGATGATGATACTTCCAGCCTCAGGGGTCCGAGTAGAGCCTCCAATCTCAGCACGACTGGTGCTCATAGGCCAGTAATTATTATGTTCATCTCTGAGGTATATCTTCTCTCCAAGGGCATGGCTACAAGTTGCACTTAAAGCCACACCTAAGGCCACAAGTAGGGCGTTCATCATGTATATTGTCTAAAGCAAACAGAAAACGTCACATATATAAACAGCATTTAACAAATATCAAATATTACTATCGGTGGCAATTCTTCAACTATCCCTATATTGATTTTAAGAAATTCAGAATATTCCTCAATTTTCAATCAAATTTTCGATACTCCACGGTCGACCACCGACACACCCATTAGACTTCACAGCGAAGATTTTGCGATCGCGACTTCACGGCCGAACTGATTCTTCATGCAAAAAACTAAAAAGTGGAACCATGGCTCTTATTCGGTCTGGTGCTCATCCTAGGACTCTTAATCCTTTAACAGATGCAAAGGTGATTAAGGCTAAAGTTTTCCCGTCTGCCCTGTACGGGTGTGAACTATGGCAACTGTCTAGAACTGAATTAATCAAATTAGAGCGCGCTCAAAATATTATCGTAAAATCCATTCAAGGGTTAAACATTAGAACTAGAACTGATATGGCCAACTCCTTAATTGGATGGACCTCCATAGAAGGTTACATTGATATAAGAAAACCTCTGTTTCTCGGTCGTCTTTGTAGACTGGACAGTAAATACTTAACTCATATTATATTTCTCAAACGCCTATTCATGCATATTTTGAAGGAGTCCTGTCAAACTGTTTTTTTCCTGATATTGTGAGAATACTTCGCAAGTATGATTTGTTTAATTATCTGTTGCAGTATATTTCAGATACAGTTTTTCCAAGTAGTTCATCATGGAAGTCAATTGCCTATAAATGATGTGTGATAGAATGAACAACGATTCAGATTTCACAAGATTTTTGCTCATTCATGATACAATTTTTCCACATATTTTATGGACAGTAGCATTAAAATTCCCTGAACATCTAAGCAAGATAAGCAATATAGTTCGATTATGTGCTAATTTAATATCAACAAATACTATTGAATTATGCCATTTTTGTGGTATTTTACATAATGACCGTATAACACATATAGTACTCCATTGTACAAAACCTGAAAGTCTTAGAGACGATCTATGGTGTCTTATTAGTACGGCTTTTGATATAGAACTTAGCGTGTTCTTATACTCTTTGTCTGATTATGATTTAATTCATGTATTACTTGGGGGTAGCCTTCCCCACATATTAAACTCATCTGATTATGTAACCTTTGTACTGCATAATGCTATTTTTAATGACAAAATGTTCCTGTTGTATCAGCGTTAATAAAGAAATAACACGTACAAATGTACGTACAATAGCAATGTCTACCTAATTACTAATTTTTCTCTTATTTTGTATGTGTTTGTATGGGTAAGCCTGAGAGGACCTTGCTGGTAGGGCTTTCCCCAACCCTTGGAAACCTCAGGATTCCCAGGCATTCTAATTATTTTGTATGATTTGCTGTAAACGAGACCATTCTTTCTGTATTTACTAAACTAATTCAAGATTTATTAACTTCTCTCTTCATCTCTGTAGTTAACTGATGTATTTATGTGCATTTAAGTATCAATTACTAATATTTGATTTGTATTTTGACTACACTGTACATTTTTGTAACTCTTAAATTTGGAGGAAATAAAGAAATAATAATAATGTTTATTGTCTAAAGCAAACAGAAAACGTCACATATATTTAACATTTAACAAATATCAAATATTACTATCGGTGGCAATTCTTCAACTATCCTTATATTGATTTTAAGAAATTCAGAATATTCCTCAATTTTCAATCAAATTTTCGATACTCCACGGTCGACCACCGACACACGCATTAGACTTCACAGCGAAGATTTTGCGATCGCGACTTCACGGCCGAGACTCTGTGATAGAGACTTTATGGCCGAGACTCTGTGATAGAGACTTTATGGCCGAGACTCTGTGATAGAGACTCTATGGCCGAGACTCTGTGATAGAGACTTTATGAGACTTTACGGCCAAGACTCTGTGATAGAGACTTTATGGCCGAGACTCTGTGATAGAGACTTCACGGCCGAGACTCTGTGATAGAGACTTTATGGCCGAGACTCTGTGATAGAGACTCTATGGCCGAGACTCTGTGATAGAGACTTTACGGTCGAGACTCTGTGGTAGAGACTTTATGGCCGAGACTCTGTGATAGAGACTTTATGGCCGATACTCTGTGATAGAGACTTTAGGGCCGAGACTCTGTGATAGAGACTCTAGGGCCGAGACTCTGTGATAGAGACTCTAGGGCCGAGACTCTGTGATAGAGACTCTATGGCCGGGACTCTGTGATAGAGACTCTATGGCCGGGACTCTGTGATAGAGACTCTATGGCCGGGACTCTGTGATAGAGACTCTATGGCCGGGACTCTGTGATAGAGACTCTATGGCCGAGACTCTGTGATAGACACTTTATGGCCGAGACTCTGTGATAGAAACTTTACCGCCGAGACTCTGTGATAGAGACTCTAGGGCCGAGACTCTGTGATAGAGACTCTAGGGCCGAGACTCTGTGATAGAGACTTTGTGGCCGAGACTCTGTGATAGAGACTTGACGGCCGAGACTCTGTGATAGAGACTTTGTGGCCGAGACTCTGTGATAGAGATTTTATGGCCGAGACTCTGTGATAGTGACTTTACGGCCGAGACTCTGTGATAGTGACTTTACGGCCGAGACTCTGTGATAGAGCCTTTATGGCCGAGACTCTGTGATAGCAACTTTATGGCCGAGACTCTGTGATAGAGCCTTTATGGCCGAGACTCTGTGATAGTGACTTTACGGCCGAGACTCTGTGATAGTGACTTTACGGCCGAGACTCTGTGATAGAGCCTTCACGGCCGAGACTCTGTGATAGAGCCTTCACGGCCGAGACTCTGTGATAGAGACTTCAGGGCCGAGACTCTGTGATAGAGACTCTAAGGCCGAGCCTCTGTGATAGAGACTTTACGGTCGAGACTCTGTGTTAGAGACTTTATGGCCGAGACTCGGTGATAGAGACTTTATGGCCGAGGCTCTGTGATAGAGACTCTATGGCCGGGACTCTGTGATAGAGACTCTATGGCCGAGAGTCTGTGATAGAGACTCTATGGCCGGGACTCTGTGATAGAGACTCTATGGCCGAGAGTCTGTGATAGAGACTTTATGGCCGAGGCTCTGTGATAGAGACTTCACGGCGGAGACTCTGTGATAGAGACTCTAGGGCCGAGACTCTGTGATAGAGACTCTAGGGCCGAGACTCTGTGATAGAGACTTCAGGGCCGAGACTCTGTGATAGAGACTCTATAGCCGAGACTATGTGATAGAGACTTTATGGCCGATACTCTGTGATAGAGACTCTATGGCCGAGACTCTGTGATAGAGCCTTTATGGCCGAGACTCTGTGATAGTGACTTTACGGCCGAGACTCTGTGATAGTGACTTTACGGCCGAGACTCTGTGATAGTGACTTTACGGCCGAGACTCTGTGATAGTGACTTTACGGCCGAGACTCTGTGATAGTGACTTTACGGCCGAGACTCTGTGATAGTGACTTTACGGCCGAGACTCTGTGATAGAGACTTTATGGCCGAGACTCTGTGATAGAAACTTTATGGCCGAGACTCTGTGATAGAGACGTTACGGCCGATACTGAAAAAACACTGGTCAGAGGAAAGAGCGGCGACTTTAAGTAACACCAGCCTGGAGACTGTATTCCCTGTCAACCAATGTTAACTTTTCACTTTTTTTTGTCTGGATACAGTCGTGCAGAGAAAAATATATCAAAGCAGCAACAACACTAAAACAAACAAGGTGAAAATACAGGGCTCAATTCCGACACGGTAGGTCATAAGTATTACGATACCTCTTACACCACATCGATAGTCAGACTAACCGCAAAAGGAAAGGAAATTATGCATTTACTGTTATTTTATTGTTTTGTTTCATAGTTGGTACACAACAAACGGAACAGCCCATTTTGTTACACAGTATACATGTACATCATCGTCCCCTTTAACCGTCCCCTTTAACCCGTCCCCTCCCTCCTTGGATATTTTTCGTGTCGACACGGAGAAATATTGTCTTTTATGCCTTAACTTCTACAGTTTCGCATTCCTACCCGAACCCCACACGGGGCTTCAATCCTGGCGTGGCCAAATTTTCAATTTGCTCCCTAGCCCTACCCCTTCGCTTTCTCACGTACTCTCCCCCACTAACGTATCATCTCCCTCCGACGTCCCCTCCCCTCCCCGTCCCCTTCCCTGTCCTCTACCCCTCCGACGTCCCCTCCCCTCCCGTACCCTTCCCTGTCCCCTACCCCTCCGACGTCTCCTCCCCTCCTCGTCCCAATCACTGTCCCCTCTCCCTCCCACGTCCCCTCCCCACTAACGTATCCTCTCCCCCTGACGTCCCCTCCCCGTCCCCTTCCCTGTCCCCTACCCCTCCGACGTCCCCTCCCCTCCCGTCCCCTTCCCTGTCCCCTACCCCTCCGACGTCCCCTCCCCTCCCCGTCCCCATCCCCGTCCCCTCTCCCTCCCACGTGCCCGTCCCTCCAACGTCCCTTCCCCTATCACTTCCCCTCCCTCTCCAACCATCACCATTCAGTTTGGCCAGGCGACGGCCATGACAGCACCTTCCAGTATATTTTCAGCCAATAATGTATGATTAAAAAATAAAATGAGCATAATGGATATTAAATGGATTTGTATGCTTAATAAAAAACACAGCGTATTTGATCCGATATATATCGAAGTAATATCAAATAAATAATTAAATTAGAAATAAACACCTACATATTTTGTATTCGAGAAAATTGCAATCAAACAGTGTTTAATTAGAATAAATTTAAACTTATTTAAATAACTTTTTGAATTTATGATTGACAATACGTCAGCTTCAGTTGATATATGAGAGCAATATTTCCTGGACAATTTAATACTTGTCCTTAGAAATATGACAACATAAGATGATTCATGATTAATTACGGAAATAAATGTATCTAATTGATCGAATGTTAATAGGAAATGAATGTTGACTGAAATGAGATTATAATTTCTAATCACTCTCATACGTCAAAGAACAACACGAGAGCTGATTTGAAAAGAGTCATAAAATGCTTCGACGAAATAATTTGTTACTGACATTCAAATCTATGGAAGTTAAAATCGTAGGAGATTTTGGACAATGAAAACTGTATCTACGATTTTCGGATTAAATAACAATACAGTACAGTTTATATATATATATAAATATACCTCTCTTTATATAAATATACCTCTATGTATATATAAAAATACCTATTAACACATAATTAAAAGAAGCTAATTAGTAAATGATTAAATATAATGCTTACATTTGTCTCCGAGCGTGTTTGGTACTCCCGATGAAATACTGGTTTAAATACTCTTTGTGAATTTGTTTATTATCTAATGTTATGTCGGCCTAGACGCCTCTGCCGCCTCATCGATCAAAGTGCAGGCACGGCCTGTCATGCGCATTACAACGGCTGAGTAAGTGGTAGGTTTGTCAAGTAAATCAGCATCGTTAGATTGATAAATTAAAACTGCTGTGAAAAAAAATGAAACATTATCGTCATTTACATTGAAGTTTGATGCTTTGACTTATAATTGTATTTCTTCAAAAATAAATTTTTCGTGATTATATATTCATTTTGTATTTATTTACAGATTCTATCGTTATTGACATTACATCGTAATCTCCTCTGAAGCTGTGCATGCTTTTTAATACATGGGCGATACTTTTATCATTTAATTATGTCAGAATCACTCAACGCGCATGTAATAAGTAGGTACGGACAAAACAGGTAAACAACAATAGAAATTAAAATGTTTATTATCAAATCGACATTTTTAAAAAATGAGAAAAAAACAAGAGGCAGAGTTTTGAAATTCTTCAAGGATTAAAAATATGGGTAAAACATGTAAACACCAAAAAAAAGGAATACATCATTACTGTGTCTAGTTGTACCAATACATTACATATATATAAACACCTTCATCATTACTGTGTCTGGCTGTACCAATACATTATATATATATATAAACACCTTCATCATTACTGTGTCTAGCTGTACCAATACATTATATATATATAAACACCTTCATCATTACTGTGTCTAGCTGTACCAATACATTATATATATATAAACACCTTCATCATTACTGTGTCTAGCTGTACCAATACATTATATATATATAAACACCTTCATCATTACTGTGTCTAGCTGTACCAATACATTATATATATATAAACACCTTCATCATTACTGTGTCTAGCTGTACCAATACATTATATATATATAAACACCTTCATCATTACTGTGTCTAGCTGTACCAATACATTATATATATATAAACACCTTCATCATTACTGTGTCTAGCTGTACCAATACATTATATATATATAAACACCTTCATCATTACTGTGTCTAGCTGTACCAATACATTATATATATATAAACACCTTCATCATTACTGTGTCTAGCTGTACCAATACATTATATATATATAAACACCTTCATCATTACTGTGTCTAGCTGTACCAATACATTATATATATATAAACACCTTCATCATTACTGTGTCTAGCTGTACCAATACATTATATATATATAAACACCTTCATCATTACTGTGTCTAGCTGTACCAATACATTATATATATATAAACACCTTCATCATTACTGTGTCTAGCTGTACCAATACATTATATATATATAAACACCTTCATCATTACTGTGTCTAGCTGTACCAATACATTATATATATATAAACACCTTCATCATTACTGTGTCTAGCTGTACCAATACATTATATATATATAAACACCTTCATCATTACTGTGTCTAGCTGTACCAATACATTATATATATATAAACACCTTCATCATTACTGTGTCTAGCTGTACCAATACATTATATATATATAAACACCTTCATCATTACTGTGTCTAGCTGTACCAATACATTATATATATATAAACACCTTCATCATTACTGTGTCTAGCTGTACCAATACATTATATATATATAAACACCTTCATCATTACTGTGTCTAGCTGTACCAATACATTATATATATATAAACACCTTCATCATTACTGTGTCTAGCTGTACCAATACATTATATATATATAAACACCTTCATCATTACTGTGTCTAGCTGTACCAATACATTATATATATATAAACACCTTCATCATTACTGTGTCTAGCTGTACCAATACATTATATATATATAAACACCTTCATCATTACTGTGTCTAGCTGTACCAATACATTATATATATATAAACACCTTCATCATTACTGTGTCTAGCTGTACCAATACATTATATATATATAAACACCTTCATCATTACTGTGTCTAGCTGTACCAATACATTATATATATATAAACACCTTCATCATTACTGTGTCTAGCTGTACCAATACATTATATATATATAAACACCTTCATCATTACTGTGTCTAGCTGTACCAATACATTATATATATATAAACACCTTCATCATTACTGTGTCTAGCTGTACCAATACATTATATATATATAAACACCTTCATCATTACTGTGTCTAGCTGTACCAATACATTATATATATATAAACACCTTCATCATTACTGTGTCTAGCTGTACCAATACATTATATATATATAAACACCTTCATCATTACTGTGTCTAGCTGTACCAATACATTATATATATATAAACACCTTCATCATTACTGTGTCTAGCTGTACCAATACATTATATATATATAAACACCTTCATCATTACTGTGTCTAGCTGTACCAATACATTATATATATATAAACACCTTCATCATTACTGTGTCTAGCTGTACCAATACATTATATATATATAAACACCTTCATCATTACTGTGTCTAGCTGTACCAATACATTATATATATATAAACACCTTCATCATTACTGTGTCTAGCTGTACCAATACATTATATATATATAAACACCTTCATCATTACTGTGTCTAGCTGTACCAATACATTATATATATATAAACACCTTCATCATTACTGTGTCTAGCTGTACCAATACATTATATATATATAAACACCTTCATCATTACTGTGTCTAGCTGTACCAATACATTATATATATATATAAACACCTTCATCATTACTGTGTCTAGCTGTACCAATACATTACATATATATAAACACCTTCATCATTACTGTGTCCAGCTGTACCAATACATTATATATATATATACACCTTCATCATTATTGTGTCTAGCTGTACCAATACATTATATATATATATATATATATAAACACCTTCATCATTACCGTGTCCAGCTGTACCAATACATTACATATATATAAACACCTTCATCATTACCGTGCCTAGCTGTACCAATCCATTATATATATATAAACACCTTCATCATTACTGTGTCTAGCTGTACCAATACATAAGCAAAACCTCACATTACTTAACCCTATTGTAGCCTTGGTAATTAGGATTTTTTTCTGATATATGACTAAATGCACTTTTTTTATTTTTTTCCTCTTTTGTCGTTTTCCATCGGCACACAATTCGACGCAATGCCAGGATTTTTTTTTATAAGAAACTTGTGTTTTATTAAAAAAAAAATGGCATTCTCTTGGTGTTTTTTATGACAATGTATTTCTTTTATTTTTATTTAATTCATTCTTTGTATAATTAATGTTTTTCTATATAATAGCGCGCATTATGTTGTTTGCTTGCAAAGCTGTGTCATTCAAATAGATCATAAATACCATACAAAAACAGTTCAATAATTATATTTACGTTTTCTCTGCCTCTTATGTTCTTTTTTAACTTATAATTTATATTTAAAATTAAAAATGCCCGCCTTATCGACAGTCCACACAATTTCGTTCAATAGTTTGAACAGCGTATTGTCGCGTGCTGATTGGCAAACAAAGTAGTACTTTGAAATTTAAACAAACACTTTAATTTTATTCCACAATTCAGTATCAATACAATTGCCTATATTATGTCTATAGGGTGATTTAAGTTTATCTATAGAACTCTGAGCTGAAAGTTAGATTTGAAATTGTTTCGATATTTCCCCGGAACAAATTTCGCGCATGGACAAATACAGTGAACACCGTAAATCCGACCTTGCCCTCCACGAGGGAGTTATTTTTGGAAGTTAATTCGAACTTTTCTCTTTGCTCATTTTTTGAAGAATCCATGCGTGAATGTATTTGTTGATTGTATGGGAACCTGACAACAGTCGGTATATTCTATAACATCCTCGTTATTTGACATGTTGTCAGAAACTGAGGAATGGTGGATGCGAGACGCGTGAAAGATAGCGTTTGAAGTGAGTGATCTTGCGACGGAGCACAGGTTCGTTACAAATGTCTGAAATGTTTATGTGTGCTGTGACTCATATCAGTAGGTCTGTAACATATGTGTCAGTAGGTCTATATAATATGTGTATTTCAGACATTTGTAATTGCATGAGCATTAAAATTGTTTCAATTGCCGGCATTGGTGATTTCAACCGATGTGCATTTTGTACGATATTGCAGACATTGGTCTTGTTTTCGTTGTAAAAAAAGTGTTTTTGTATTTTATTTTTTATTTTGCACATAAATTTACAATGGCATTGTCAAATCTCACAATGCCCAGCGATATATTGGATATTGTAGTTCCGGTCAGTGTTGTATTAATACGCTAAGAATTGTGTCTCGTGATGCATGGTAATTAAAGTCCCATCAACGACACAGCTTTCAAAGAGGCTATATAGTGACAATGCCATGCAAATGTAAATATATGATCTTGTATCGCACATGTGTGATACAAGCAGACAGAAAACACGCCTGACAAAATGATGTATTACTATCGTAAGATTGCATAGGCATGTGATAAATATATATATATCTCGCTTCACTCTTTTACATAATAAGATACAACCGTATGCTATATGGAAACTTTCTCTACGCTTTCCACAATACAATCCTTGTTTTAAGAAAGTTGTTAAACTTTGTGTTGAAATGCGCGATAATGAAAATACATATTTGTGTCATTACTGAAGATCTATGCACAAAGATACTATTATGCATAGTGTACTCGAATGCTCACACACAGCTATTACGTGACCAGCTCTGGTGTATTCTCAGTACTGTAAAAGATATAGATTTGTTGTTTAATCTTAATGTAATGTCTAATTACCATCTACTTCATGTTCTTCTTGGTGGTATTTTCAACTATGACTTATCTCCATATGAACTGGAGGGCTTAAGAATAAAATCCATTGTTATTATTACTAAAGTTCTTCAATACAGTGGTATTTTGTAATTTATATTTGAATGTTGTATACTGAGTAATATGATCACAAATTTACTTGTGTGAACCGCACGCTTCAGCAAGACTAATACATTAAATACATATATTTTTGTATTCATATTAGTATGCAAGCATTTCCTAC